ACGCAACCGGCGTCGCTCGTCGCTCCCAGCGCGGCATACTACGATTGTCTTGTCACATACCCCATACATTACATCCGAGTACTTCGTGATTATGTGTCTCTTTAGTGATCACTGACTGAGAATTATTTTTTACAGCAATTTCTCGTGAATGTCTGTGATGTGATTGCCGAGGTCATACGAACAGCTAGTCTTGACAAGTGTGACGAAAAACCCAATGACGCCTCAGTTACCCGGCGCCGAAACTCCGAAAGGCCAACAGACGTGTTGAAGTTTTTCATGTTGTTTTACGTGTCTTCGTCACCTACTTTACGTCTACTCTTTTAGCCATCTGATCACACTATGCGGGTTTGCATGCAGTTAACGCATTCCATGTTACGTACTGGGGCTTTCAGCAAGTGTGGACCTCTCTTGAAGAAACTTTCCGATGACATAGTGAGTTCCTGTGTGCAGCTTTCAAAACCGCCTAGTTTTTTTATTCCACGATACCGAAACAAGAGTCATGTTTGAAGTGAAAGGCCAAACTCCGGCTACTGTACTGCTCTCAACACTATTAGTGCCTTGAGCCTAAACACATAGTAATATTTAGTCCATCTAACCTTTCTGTTCACGCATTTTATGATTGTCCGTCATGTTTTGTCTTCGAAAAATTAAATCAAGTTACATAGTGGGCAATTGAAGCCTCTGGATTACCGCAACGCTTGAGGAAGCCTGGCCAAAAAGCGTCTATAAAAAGGCTGATGAAGGGTTCTTTCAAAGGCGACGAATGAAGAACTCCAGGTAATGATTTGTTCCGTTTGGCAGTCAGTAAGCATCATTATGCGTTCCGTTTGGGAAATCACTCTCCAAAAATCGGCTGAGGCTGCGGGCAAGAGTTCAATTCTCACGAACCCTGCGCCTCATTCAGAATATGATGTTCTCAGACTTACTCCCTTCAAAAGATGGTATTACACTTCATCTCCCATTTCCACAGATATCGGCCATTGATGTGTTAACGGATCTGATAGCTGTTATGGATAACAATGACGTGTTAAGCTGCGACGTGGAAGCAGGAGAAGGAGAATTGAAAAAACTGTCGACTTCCGTTTTTTATTGATGTTTCTTTTGGACATTATCAACAGCAAGTAAGTGCTACTTTGTTTGTGCTCTGCAAACTCACTATGTTAACGCCTCCGAGGACATTAGGCTTCCTTCATACTTCCCAACATCGGTTAATTGGCAAATTAGGAGAACAGGATATTGCGCCCAAAAGAAAGTATAATCTTTGATTGGCGAGTTGGGAGAAGAAGAGAATCGGCGAATGCGTGATCTGAGAGAAAGCACGCCGCAGGAGTGGATGGGAGTCGAGTAAGATATTAGAGGAAAGTATGGTTATGTACGGAGGGAAGTTAGAAACAAATGAGACTTTGGCAACTTCTCTTCCCGAGGGCAAGCTCTGTTACTCCTGCAATTAGTCGCTGGAGTGCAGCAGACCGACTAGACATGGGCAGTTTCGCGTTGTCGATCTGCATCAAGGACGGAGGGAGTGGGATCACTAACTGTCGCGTTTGTGTGCAGAAGATGTGGAAACCGCAGGCATCATTCGTCAGGAGTAAGCACCGTATGGTGTCAGATTCGCTTGCTTTGACTGATTCGCCTACGATGAAAAATATTTGCAGAATCGGCGAATGATGTGCCCGCCGAAGAGCAGATGAGAATCAGTCGTTTGCAGATTCGCTAGCTGGGAAAATGGGAGATTGCGCGTCAAGGAACGTACAGCATAATGTTCTGTAAGGAGGATAGGAGAATAATCGTTCTTATATTGCTTTGGCAAAACATTTTGTATTTTCCTAATTGACTAATGCGCTAAAGATAGAAGTCGGTTGATTCCCAACTATTTTTCCTCCCTATTCACCAGATACAAACTTGTATGTCGTATTCGCCGCAGGCTCTAACAAGGGAGGTCGTTCAGGGCGTGGTGCGCTTTTCGAAAACGGTTTTTTGCATATTGTAGGGGCTCATGCAAGGACCTGAAAAGTGTGCTTCATTTTCGCTGCGCGCTTCCAGGAAAGGTAAAAAACGAGTGAAAAGAAATCTGTGGAATCTGCTTCGTTCTGGGCCTCTATGCGGCGTAGGTCACTTGCAACTTTGACCAGTTGCTGAGTGGGGGTCCTTTATAAAGGGGAGGCTATTTGAATGAGGCTACAGTGAGTGAGCTGAGTGAGGCTAATGAGTAGTAAGTGAGCTTGCCAACCTTGGGTCATGGTGTCAAGTGGGTGAACGGCTTCTGGCAATGTTCATCAACTGATAAGAGCGCACAAGCTAACCGTCGCAGCACCGGACTGGCCTAGCGGAACTAGTGTGGAGGTTTCGCAATCAGGACAGTGCAGGTGGGTTGGTGTTCGGCCTCCCTTCCCTGGAATCTTTTGCAATTTTTTTAGATTTCGCTGTTCTCGCTTCCATTTGTGTCTGCGCATGAATATAACTCGGATATTTGCCATTTATGGGCACATTCTGAGCAGCTGTACCTCATGAGTCAAAGCTATTCAACTATTTCGATTTTCACGCACCATTGAACGAGATTGTTGCTGGACGTTGATCCTCATAGGCTATACAGTGGATCTGATTGCGAATTTTGTAACTTCTGGTGTGGTGTCAATTATAGACAATTTGGGGCCACATCTTCTTTCCACTGAATTCGTATATGTACACCCATGTAGGGAACGTTCAGCGCTATTCTGGTCGCCAAATTGCGTGGACACCAAGAATAGGTGTCATATTTGTGATCAGGGACACTGATTACCACCAAAAACGAATTCTCGGTCAAAAAGCAGTGTGTTTGACGCATCTGGGGTTGGCTTATTGGTTGTCGGCGGGGCCCGTACGTCCAACGATACGTCCATTCGGCTGTTACGAAAATGTGGAGAGTCTCCGCTTCATACTGCGACCATAGTGGCCGCCACCTACAACCGAAAAAGATCAAAAAAAGAAATTTTTCGCCAACTTGCTCCTAGGGGTAATCGACAGTCCTGATCACGATTCTAAACTTTATTTCGGGTCCAGTGCCATCTGGCACCGGCATAGTGCCGAAGAGCTGAGTCTGTGCATACTAACGAATTCGAACGAAAAAGCAGTTTTGCTCCATAAAAGTAGGATTGTTCAGTTCATCGTGAAATGTTTTGTTAGGACCAATTATTTAGACAAACATGGATCCAAAAAATGAAAAATTGTAGAAAAGCAAAATTTTGTCCTCGGTGGGATCCGAACCATCGACCTATTTTTTACGTTTTTTTTTATTCGTAGAAGCGCGCAGCGAAAATGAACCTCAGTTTTCTGGTCCTCGTATGTGCCCCTACAATATGCACAAGACCATTTTGAAAAAGCTCACCACGCCCTGAACGACCTCCCTTGTAAGGCCAAAGCTAGCCTCTGACACATACCAGCGTCTGCAGCGAAAGCAACTGCACCTTCTTTTGTACTGCTGTCCTATTTTCCTAATCCTTGAATTTGCCATTCTTTCTGAGTAGAATGCAGCCTTATCTCTCCTTTTTCTTGAGAAGCACCTTTTATCACAAGTTATAATCAGTTTTGGTTCAATGTCCTTGTGAATCGAAAATAAGCGGCCGCTTCTTACTAGCGTTCACTAAAAATCTCCGCAATTCAAGTGCCACCTGACTTGTCTCCATCACCCCATCACCCCATATATATAATTTCTTCGTCTGTTTGTTTGTTTTTTGTCACCAGTTTGTTTGTTTGTTTGTAAGTTTGTTTGTCTGTCCGGAAATTCGGTTCGACCTGAAGAACGACTTAGAGAGGTCGGGTCAAGGTGGGGATGGGTAGAGCATGGGACAAGAAATAAAAAGCACACTTGACCTATGCGAAGCCCCGCCCACAGTGGGCGGGGCACTCGCTGAAATTTTGGGGTTTCACAGAAAAATGTTCATAATTCGCTTCCGGAGCAGCCTAAGATGGTGAAAAAAGGGAATAAGGTTAGTAAGGAGTCGCCAGACTAACTGTGGCAGACACATCCAAAATGGGCGGGGCGTACTCAAGGTGGGCGGTGCTTCGCATAAAACTCAGTAACTCGGTTCGCGAGAGTGTTCAGAAGCCGCAAAAAGCTCAGTGCAGAATGTAAATATCTGGCGAGTATTGGGCATGCTCAAATGTGTTGAGATCCGCCCACAGTGGGCGGAGCTTCAATAAGCAACATTTGAGGCATGCCCAATATTGCCCTAAACCGCAGGATACTCACTTTAAAAGTTTGTAGCTCGGTTCCAGAGCACTGCAAAGACCGGAAAAACGTGCGTCAAGGTCGGCAAAGGTTCGCCGGTGAGGACTGTGGGGCAAAAACATTGTGGGCGGAGCCTGCTCCGAGGTGGGCGGAGCCAGACAAAAAGGTCTGTAAAACGGTTCCAGAGCACTCCGAAGACCGGAATAAAGTGAATTCAGGTCAGCAAGGGGTCGCCGATTAAGAAATGTGGGGTATACATGTTGTGGGCGGGGCCAGCTCGAGTTGGCGCAGCCAGACAAAAGTTCTTCCAAAACTCTCCCAGAGCACTCCGAAGACCGGAAAAAAGCGGATTAAAGGTCGTAGATGGGTCGCCAGTGCGGATTGTGGCACAAAAATTGGGGCTGGAGCCTGTTTCGAGGTGGGCGGAGCCAGACAAAACTCTGCAGAACGGTTCCAGAACACATCAGACACCGGAAAAAAGTGGATTAAGGTCAGCAGGGGGTCGCCTGTGAAGAGTGCGGGGCACAAAAATTGAGGGCGGGTCTGCTCTGAGGTGGGCGGAGTCAGACGAAGAATTCTGTAAAACAGCTCAAGAGTACTTCAGACACCGGAGAAAAGTGGAGTACAGAACAAAAGGCGGATATCAGTTGAGTCTAGAAATATGTGAGAGAAGGTCACCCCGCCGGCGAAGCGGCGCCCGCATCAGAAGGAGTCGCGCCGGCGTCAGCCGGCGAGGCGACTGGTTAAACAATAACGGTTCAAGAATAAAAGGCAGCTTCTAATAATAAGAGTAATGTATGTAGGTCTATCGGCTTGTGCCATGCCTCAGGCACTGTTGCTTCGTATACACTTGAATCACGAGATCAATGTCCTTTTTCGCAGACACACAAATCAGTTCTTGAGTGCCTCCCCTCACTACCTCTCGATGAGCCTTTTTCAGGGTTCCAGCCCCTCACTATGTCTTAAGGCATGTGAGTGCGCAGCTAAGATCTTGCTCCTGGAAAACCTCTCTGATAATGATTTTTCTTGTGCTGAAGTCTTAGCAGGACTGATCTCCAGGTAATCAACTCAAGTTTTCTACCACTTCAGTTTTATAAAGCTAAGGGATCCTTCGCTTGTTTTCCATCTTTCCTATCTTTTTCCGAGAAATTTTGTACTTCCTCAGCTTCTCCACAAAATGCCAGTCACTCGTGTTAAGAGACAAAGTGAAAGCTTTCTTACTGTTGCCAATAAATATTTTCTAGTTTCATTGGAGAGTGATTGGATGAACTGGATTATGGGAATAAATCACTAATCTTTCTAGACCGTTAATTTGCTGTTTTCCAGACTTTTCCACTCAAGCTGCTCACGACTTCCTGCGGTAAAGTCTTGTATAGAAAAATTCTTCGCCATGTTCTCTTCTGTCCAGAGGTAGTTAGCTTAATGTTCATTTTTTTGGGGTAGCTGTATAATTTCCGTTCGCAAGGAAAAAACCAGCATGGCAATGAATGGCGCTTTTCATCTGCTAATGGTCACAGGTGCCGCTTCTGCTTCCGTTTTAGACCGATTTTGTGCTTCACATTGCATAGTAGGCGGGCTCTGAACTTAATAGTTGGTGGTGCAACACAGTATAGGCTTTTGAAAAACGCTCCTGACAGAGAGGTGAGCTCGCGATTAGCGGTATGGATAGTGTTAAACAGTACTCTCAGACAGTCACATTTAGCAAGGTTCTGTGCAACCAGTTTTTCTACGTGAGCTACTTGATTATCAAAAGGATCATCCTGATGATGCCTGTGCTTCACTGTATTGGCAGACTGCTGCAGCATTGGATCTGGACGAGTTTTGGAAGCCATCGGGAGCTTCTTGAAAGGCGGCAATTCGAATCGTTCAATAATCTCTTCGATGTCACGTCCTATTCTTTTTCACGAGCCTCAGAGAATAGTTCCAGCATAACCATTATTTCATTTTACATTTTCATTATAAGGGAATCAATATACAGCAAGACGAGGAGAAAGGGAAGAGAGTAAAGGATTCGTGAAACCTATCTCTGGAGGTCGTGTAATACCGGCTTGAGTTTCCCTCTAGGACTGAAAGCAAGGGGGGTAGACGGAGAAGTTATACGAAGCGATACCAGGGATTCCACCTGAAAATGAATACAAAAGTAGAAGGTATAGAGAAGGCAAAGCCAACATATCACCTACCATAAACGAAAGCCGGTATTGAAACTTTTCGAAAAATATTGTTTTTAGCTTCTGCTTATCGGACGTTTCTTCTTCTACCTAAATAACTATCATGCTACATATAATCGGCTTCGCCTGTTTATTAGCCATATTTCTTTATTCCGCTGCTGCCAGGAAATTCAATACTGCCTGAACAGCCACTTGGACAGTCCGCCGGTTGTAGAATGGGTAGGGCATGTGCTATGGCGCGAGCACATTTGGTCCTCCTAAGTTCCGCCCAAAGTTGGTGGCGCAGTGAGAGCGACCTAATTAGCTTGCTACTGGGAAAAGGGTAAGGGTTATTAAGTGGCGACAGAAGAAATAAGAAAGACGTACATAATATTGGCGGTGCTTGCAACACAAATTAGTAACGCGCTGAGGTGGACGGGGCAAAAGTCAGGAACTTGTAGTTTGGCTGCATGGCAGCACCAGGACCAGGAAGAAGTAAATTCACGTCAGGAATCAGGGTCGAAAGCACGGTGGGCAGGATGTGCGCTGAGGCGGGCGTGCAATAATGAAATTTAGAAAGCGGCGAAACTTCGTTCCGAGGCCTTCCTTGCCCGAGAAGAATTTTTAAAGCTGCGCAGAGGACTGTCGAGTGAAATAGCAGAGGGGTTCTATAGATACTGGCTATCGAGCTCATCATTTGAACAACAGGTTTCCGTGCAAAGGGTCGCGAATGGTCCGGAGGAGAGGGGGCTACATCATAGAGCGAGCGAGTTGGTGAAGTCTGACATTCACAGACTCCTGTCATATAGATCAATCTTGGTCCATGGTACCAGACGGATCACCGGCTGATTCCGTTCTGTGATGCGGTCCGCAGGATTGCCCGGGCGGAGGCATCACCATGCGCGGCTTCTTTCAGTGAGAACTTCGGCTAATGCCCAGCATGGCTTCAGTTTTAGGGTTGGTTAGTGATCCGTATTCTCAGCTACCACTCACATTACTTCCAACACTACTACTACCCGTCTTTTAGTGGCAAGAAGCTTGGTCATGCACAGATGAGGGAATTGCACGGCATTATCGGTTTTTCCATCTCACTGAAAGAAAGAGCACGGCTT